CCCTCCTTCTTTTCACATCCTGTGGTTTTGTTGCTGCTTGCAGTACCCCAGAGGCACAGTAAAGAGGTGAATGCATATTACTTTGGAAATGGGAAGATGCAAAAGGCTTGGGTCACCAGTGAAGAAGACTCTTCTAGAAGATAAAAGATGATGATACTCCTACAATTTGAATAGTAAGACCAGAGAGTAGAAATAAAAGATGGTCAATCAGCTATTAGCTAGAAACAACACTGTCCCCCACACTCTGCTGAGATGCCTGAACCTCCTGGTCAAAAAGACTTCCAGATGTGCTATTCTTACTGTACAAAATAAAAAGCTACAAGGTTCTCCAAATTCACAGTGTGTCCAGGAGAATGCAGTCAATAAGAAATGCTTGGTGTGATTACTGGCTTCAATCAAGTGTTTGTTTTGGAGTGGAAAATGGATTCCAGACGCAGAGACCAAAGTGGCAAACAGACTTCAGGACAGTCATGCACCACCATGGCGTGAAAGAGGTCCCTCATTTAAAGAAAAGGATTGTTTAAAAGGATTGTTTAAAAGCAGCAAGACCTCCACTGCCAAGGCAAGAGAATTTTGCCTGAGCTGAAAGACAACCTGGGAGAAGCATTTAATGATCCAAAGCATGTCTAGAATGGACTGAAGATGACACTACCCTGTCTACATTTCAGAAATGCTTTACTCTTTATTTCAGTCTCACACTTTTCCCCAGTAACGCCTGCATCAAGAACACACCTTGTTTGAAAGAGGACACATCTTTCGCAAGACAATCACTTGGAAGGGAAGTGCTTGAGGCTACGGCAAATCTGTCTCATCTATACATGACTTGTCCCAGCAGTTAACTATTCTCAGTGTTGGGGAAAAGGAAGAGAGACAAAGAAAACATTTTCTGGGTTAGATTTAGCCTCAGCTTGCAGCCACTGAATTTCTGTGAATGTTCCCACCCACTACTAAGAGCTTTCAGCAGTCAGGAGTCTCTCTTTTTTGAAGGCATGCACAAACTACAGTGAAGTCACGTTTAACACCCGTCCAGCTCCCTTCCTTGGGTCAGAGTGACTGCTTGTGCACCTGCTCCCTCAGCAGAACTCCTCTTCTCCAGCAAATACCATGGAGACGGTGCAGTATTCTGCAGTGACAGAACTAGTTGTCATCTTACTGCAGAGTTTGGAAGTACGGTGAAGAGCTGGATGGGAAATTACACTTTTCACTAGAATGCTTTCATAAAAAGAAACCTGAAAAATACAAAAGCCCTCCCCATATCATATGCAGCCAATTATATTCCTATTCATCTGGCCAGCATAACTCCAGGGGTCTAAACTTGGTGTCATGTCAAGTAAAAGCCCAGAGACAGCAGTTAGCTCAGGTGTCTGCTTAGATATCATTTAGAAGTCAGCATGCCTAGAAGTCTATATTGTGTTTTGCCAAACACCTGGCTCAGGACTTTTTTCAGGTCTGCTTTCTCTTGTTTTCCATCTTTTTCCTGCTCTAAGAAAGTAGTAGCTTCTTCTGCACCCAAGACTTAGCCTAGGGAAATCAAAGCAAAGCAAAATCCAAAGCCTGTCTCCTTTCAGAAGGACACTCCTGCAGTTCTGGTCCTCAGAGCTCCACTGAGCAGCCTGATTTATCTAAAAGGAGCAAAAATTATTTTCTGGTTTTCCACCCTGCAACATCCATTTTATTTTGTGCTAAGGCAAAGAAATGTATCTACCGCTGTCTTGTTCCTTGCAGTATAATGTATAGCAGGTTAAAGTCACAGTTCAGATCTCAGCAGGTTTCAGATTCAAATTCCATTATATATCAGGCTGTATTGGGTTTGCATGGCAAGGTTTTGGTGGCAGAGGGACTACAGGGGTGGCTTCTGTCAGAAGCTTCTAGAAGCTTCCCCCATGTCCAATAATGCCAATGCCATGTAGCTTCAAGTCGGACTCGCTACTGGCCATGGCCGACTCTATCAGTGACAGTGGCTGCAACTCTGGGATAACGTATTTCATACGGAAAGAACCCCTCCACAACTGCAGCTGGATAAAGGAGTGAGAACATGTGAGGGAAACAGCCCTGCAGACCCCCAGGTCAGCAGAGGAGGGAAGGAGGTGCTCCAGGTGCTGGAGCAGAGATTCCCCAGCAGCCCATGCAGCAGTCCACGGTGAGGCCGGCTGTGCCCTGCAGCCATGGAGGGTCACAGAGGAGCAGAGATGCCCTGCAGCCTGGGGAGGACTCCACGCTGGAGCAGGGGGATGCTGGAGGGAGGCTGTGACTCCATGGGCAGCCCATGCTGGAGCAGGCTCCTGCCAGGAGCTGTGGTCCTATGGAGAGAGAAGCCCAGGCTGGAGCAGGTTTGCTGGCAGGGAATGTGGCCCCCGGGGGGGGCCTGCTCCTGAAGGACGGCACGTCACAGGGGCACCCACGCTCGAGCAATATGTGAAAAAACACAGCTCGTGGGAAGGATTCATGTTGGAGAAGTTGGTGGAGGACTGTCTCCAGTGGGAGTGACCACACGCTGGAGCAGGGGCAGAGTGTGAGGATCCTTCCCCTGAGGAGGAAGGAGCAGCAGAGACAGTGTGTGATGGACTGACCACAACCCTCATTCCCCAACCCCCTACGCTGATGGAGGGGAGAGGGTAGAGAAACCAGGAGTGAAACTGAGCCCAGGCAGAAGGGAGGGGTGGGGGAAGGTGTTTTAAGATTTGGTTTTAGTTCTCACTATCCTACTTTGATATGATTGGCAATAAATTAAACTAATTTCCCTGAGTCGAGTCTGTTTTGCTGTGCTGGCAATTAGTGCCTGATCCCTCCCTGCCCTTATCTCAACCCACGAGTATTTTGTTATATTGTCTCTCCCCTGCCCAGCTGAGGAGGGCAGTGATGGAGCAGCTTTGAGGAGGCACCTGGCCTCCAGCCACGGCCAACCCACCACACCCGGCATTAGTGTTGTAGCAGAGAAACACAGAAGTAAGGTCCAAGACACACGAAATTTCTTATGTTCAGAAACTCTTTGTAAAGGTGGTCAGGGGGGTTTTTAGCTTCTACAAAGGCAACTTGGAATTTAAAATATCAACAAATTTCAAATTTCAAATGGATTAAAAACCAAACAAAACACCTGAAGGCCCAAACCAACAAACAGTAGGCAGTTTAGCTGAGGAAACTTCTATGCATATCCTGTTATTATAATGAAATTAGGAGAAACAAGTAGCTGTGTGAGCTGCCAAGCTAATGAAGCATGATTTCCAACCTCTCTCTCCCATGAGGGTTTTCCAAAAATCTAATAAAAGTGTAAGCTTCCTTATCTTTCTTCTTGTGGGTTTTAATTGGCTTTTCCCCCACAGCCTAGCATAAATATGTAATTTCTAATACTTTTGAGATTTCTCCTTCTCTGTTTGAAATGTGTCTGCTTGTTCAAAATCTTCGGAGGGTGGGAGGGGAGAATGGAGATAAACACCCACAGCATAACTTGCTTAGGTCTCATTTCCTTAGGAGACTCAGTGTACCACTATAAAGCTGCATTTAGCTTTCCCCTTGCCTTGGTTTGTACAACGCAGTGGTGCACTGTCCTGCAATCTCCGACTACAACCACCCCGATGGTCTGCCAACGTCACACACCCTGCTCGGAGTAGCAGCTCAGCGAAAAGAGGAATGTGGATCATGAACAGAGCCAAGCACCAGGGAAAACACATGGTTTTGATGCACATGTGCAAACCTCACCAAAGTGTTTCTGATAACCAAACATTAAAGATACATTAACATGCACAGCCAGGCCTTTCTATACAAATCTGTACAAATCACATTCATGAAGCAGCCTTTACATAAAGATCTTCCTGAAGAAATTCCCTTGCAGCTATGAAAGTGATTAGTGACCCCAGGGACATACAGGGTCCAAATGAATAATCACACTATCTGGAAATTAAACAACCAAAAAAACCCAGCACTTACAGTGACAGGTAATTTCTGATATTTTTGTTTCAAGACCCCTTACAGTTCCTTTCTACTCATTCTCTTTTAAGTTAAGGTTTCACAGGGATAATTCGAACATTATTTCAAACATAGTAGCCTATTACAGCAAGACATTTCTTGTCCACTTCCATTATTCGTAATTTCTGAAATGCTCAGGGTTAAAATATCTTTTTTTAGAGAAAGGGCAGCAGCTCCTATCAGTGAGTTGTCCAAAAGAGAGAGAGAGAGTGAAGCAGAGTTTTTACAAGTATTTTCCAACGCTTTCAAACTGTACTTTCAACAACACTCAACTGGCATTTCTGCCCCCTCCAACATAAGTATGGAATTAATTGGAAAGTTCACCAACTAGCTCTCAGCTGCCATAGAGTGTCTGAAGGCACAGAGAATGGGAGAAGGTTGTGAAGTGGCCTTCACAAATTCATGTGACATCGGGGCATAACAAAGGTCCAAACCCGAGGAAGCTTTCAATGTTCATGCTGCAAGTCTGAAACTTCCTCTAGAGACTGAACCAAAACCTACAGAAGCCAAAGGAATTTTTTCCATTGACTTTAAAAAGCTTGGGACCCAATGCCAAAGAAAGTTAAGGCACATACATACATATTGTTTTGTAAGAAAAATACAAGTCTTTCTGTCCTGTAGTACAGGTTTCTTGTTCTTTAGCTGTCTGTACCTGAATTGTGCTGTCTATGCCTGAATTTTTTGCTCCAATGTATGCCCATGCACCAACTTCTTACAGCCTTTATTCATGCAATGCTCCATTAGAATCAATGGAAATTTTCAAACAAATAAAATGACTGGATTTAGCATTCAACAACAAAGATATTTTGAAGACAACGAATCCCAGTCACCTGCTTCAGCCAGATATCTTGTCTTTGGTTCAACTAAGAAATTTAAGATGAAATCAGAAACTCAAATTCTAGCTTGACTTTCTTTCTTATTTGACCATACTCACAGCTTTCTCAGCAGTGAATCAGGAAAAGATTTCAGCCTTCTTGACCTACTTCCTACCTCCAGCTCTCACCTAGACTTTACTATAGACATGTTAAAATTATTACCATTCTTCTCTATCTGCGTCACAGTTGCAAAAATATCTCATATCCAGACAACTTTCTTCCAGTCCACATGCACACTGTTGAATGCCCGGAAGAGATCCTCCCCAGTAAAGATGCTTTTCATTGGCACGGCCAACCCACCAAGCAAATGGCATTCCATCTGGATGAAAGGGAAGGAGGGGAAAAAGGAGAAAGAGAGAGAGAAAGAGAACTTGATAAGCAAATTGGATTCTCCCGAGAATGAAAAAGAGAATGGAGGTGAACATGTTAAATAATACTGAAGGAAAAGATGTGAACTACAGACAAAGTAACAAACCATAAACTTTGCCCAAGTTCTGTTTTATGGAATACAGGTTGAGAAAGCAACAGTTCTCTAGTAATCCCTTTGGTTTGAGGAGCACATGTTTTACCCATAGGGCTCACATGCCAATCACCCACAAGAACCTTGGTGTGTTTCAGCTGCAAAGACTTTGACGTGCGAAGCCAACACCACTGTCTGCACCAGCTGTGTCCAGTGTTTCTGTGTGACACCCGAGGGGTGATCTGATCACTGAAGGAGCCGGAAAGCAATTCTTCTGCCATGACTCGCACTGCACGGCTGTCATGAGTGACCCAGTACTAACAAGGATCTCTTGCAGAGCCTACCTGTTTTGAAGGGGACTAGCTCTTAAATCAGGATTTCTTACCTTAAGACTCACATATAAAGAGCAAAAATCTTCAGAAATAACACACAACTGACCTATTACCATGGGCTTAATACAGTTCCTCTCAAAATTAAGACCAAAATATGTACTGGTTTCTAAGGGAGCAGGACTAGGGATTTTAATGTGCTCTCCAAGGGTAGAATTTTCAAATGTAAAGCTCCATAAGGTATTAAAATATCTTAGATTAAGAACCCAGGTAGGAGATAAGTGGGGAAAAGATTTCCCTACTTAGGAATTAATTTGTCTGTGTGAAGTTATTTTCTATCTACAGGAGCTCTAAAATCTATGTATTTATATAAACCAAGACAGTTTTTGTTTAAATTTCATAATCTGTCATACATCAAGCATTAAATATTAATAGTCAGATACAGTAAGCAGATTCAAATGTAATGAAATCCATGGATTAACATTTTGCCAGGATTGACTTTGTCTTCCAGCTCAGATAACTTTTTCATTGACTTCTTAATCCTTAAATCAAGAAATATAATCAGTTACACATACAGGTAGATGGCAAAATTTTGCAAAATTGACATATCAAGACTTTTTGATCAAAGGAGATTGGAAAAATAAACTGCACTGCTAATGTAGAAAAAGTATCAGTTCATTTTTCTGCTTTACTAACATTATTAGTTGGGAGTATTCCTCATTATAGAAAGCAAGAAAGTCTAAAATATGAAATGCAATCAAGGTTAACTGTAGAGTGAAAGGGACTAATTAAAACGAGTTTTAGATTCACTTGGCAAAAATAATTTGTATTTGTTTTCTTTCTAAGCTTAGACTGCTGAACTGTAATTTAATGAAAAAAGGAAAATAAAAGTAAGTGTAACTCCATTCTCATGATACCAACAATTAAGAAATGATGAGTTTGACCAATACCCAGTGGTACTCATTAGAAAAGCACAATTCAAGAACATCTTACAAAAATGTGCACACTCGTTTTAGTTGTCATAGTTCTGTCAACACATTTGTTTTCTTTCTTTTCAGCTGATTTTCTTGCAGAAGTTTATTGCTGTGGCCAATGAAACAAGTCTATTCTTGGGAAATTACTTGGTAAAGCTTGGAATAGTAATGTTAATTGAATAAAAGGGTGATTTGTCTGGGATTTGAAATAGATATTATACAGAAGTGCTTCATCTAATTTTAAAACTGCCCACTTTGGAAAAAATACTTAGATAAAGATAAATCCTTCAGGCCATCAGCAAATAATGGCATTCATTAATCAAATTCAACCTATGTCTTAGAATCTTTTGGCAGAAGTCATTACACACTTAAACATAACAGTGAAATAAGCAATCATTCACAGGAATTAAGACTGAGTAGTTTTCTGATGTCTTTTTCAGATCTGTTGTTATTTGTTTTATCGAGCAATACCAAACAAAAACATGCACATTTAGATTTATGATATAGACTGGGGAAGTGGTAGAGGCACCACAGTTTGAGTCATTTACAACTAAATTAAATACAGTGCTAAAAAATAGAGCATTCAACATTACAGGGAACAATCTTATATCATCAAGGGAACAGACTTTAAAAAAAGTGTCTTTTCCAAAATTCTATTTTTTTAGGCACAGTTCTGCCACCCTTTACTCAAGATGAGTAAATTCTTTCTCCCTAACTAGTCCCTGAGCAATCAACTGTAGTATTAAGGAAAATTATGCCCTGATTATTCAAAACTCTTTTCCACGTACTTAATTTTTAACGTATGAGAAATCGCAGAGCTGTTCGGCAAAGCTCTTAAATCTAAGGTACTTCAGCAACGTCCACAGTGTTTAGGAATTACTGAAACATATTGCATATCATACACCTGCAATGCTGAAGTACTGCAATATTTCACCAACAATGGAAATCAATCTATCCCCGAGTTCTTTCCAGAAAGTTTACCCTGTTATACCTTGACAAAGCTGGAAGGTGCCTTGCACTGAGCCTGAGTTTGGCCAACAGGCATTGATTAAGACTCTTTCTTCTAAGCCTGTAGATAGTTGCAATATCTTCACTTCTGTAACCATGGCATTATCATTTTTTCAAAGCATTATCAATTCTCCACCACCTCAAAATGAATGAATTTCCTTTCTGTGACAATGCCACAGACTAAGTCCATGATGTTAATCAAGGAATTAATATGGCCCTATAAACTAATGGTTACACAGGTCAGCAGAATTCCACTTTAAAATTTCTAAGCTAAAATGTCCATTTAATATGAAGTGTTACTAATTCTTCATTCTGTGCTTACACTGTACCTAGTAACACATTATTTGGTCAAAAAAGCTAGTCAAAAGCCTACTTCACAAATAAAAGTATTATTTGCCATGCATTTTTGTCTATTTAAAACTGGGGAAAAAAAAAATCTGCCCTAATAAATGTATTAAGGTTGTCTTCAAACTCTGAAGGAGAATATGTGTGAAAAATTCCCAAAGCAAGTCAGCCCCAAATGATTGAATTCACCAGCAAAAGAACAAGAGACTAGAAGTTTCTTTCAAGTGATTCCTCCCTGTATTGCTTAAGCTGCCTTTGGAAGGTTTAATTTTGATAAAATCCTCAAAAAAGTCTATTTTATTTTTAATTTCCTGCAGAAGACAATAATCCTTTCTGTGATGAAGCTGCCTGGTATCCTCTAAGAACAGCTGTGATATTTACATCACTGTTTTTAGCATAATTAAATATGGTATTGAATAAAAGAACTGAGGAGGCAGACAGTGTTTGGTGTCAAACCAAGTACTGCTACTCGTTCACACTGTCAGGCACAGGCTGCAGAGAGCAAGGTTGGCACATGTCTCCTGAAAGGAAAGAACAAGGGCACTCATCTTCAGCTGACCATCTTGCCATTTCCCTGTCTCCACAGGCTGGTTCTTTGTGGTCTATTATTGCTCTATTCACACTGCACATACGTATCTGAGTAGCCAGCTGAGACTTTGGAAACCCTGGCATATAGGAGACTGAAACGCACGGACAGCAACTCAGTTTTTCTCCATCCAGCAAGGCACAGAGAGTAAGCTCCTTTCAGATGGCACTTCTTCGGCACATCTCCATTACCTGCTCTATCAACACGCTTAACCACACTGCTCGTTGTTAGTTCTCTGCATGAAACCAGTCCGAGCAGAAGCCAGGCTGGCACGCGCTGCGCAGCTCACGCCCAGAGGCTGAGGACTGTGAAGAGAATAGCAGACACATGAAGGTTGTTTCCAATGGTCCCTAGGAGGAGATGCAGATTGAGATCAAATTCACCTGCAATGCGCATCTGGCTGTCGAAGTGACGAGAATGGCTGAACACATACTCCATATCCCTTACCGGCTCACAAGACGTCTGTCCTCTTAAACCTCCCTTGTACTGACAGTTCTCTCCTTTTCTGTATACAAAGCCATGTATTTTTAGCCGTATTATATTTAAATTATTCGTCAATATTTCTCTGCATGATTTACCAGGGTGTTCTTGCAGTTGCAACAAACAAAAATCTAAAAATGGAACTATAACAAGATAAACTAGATCCCTGGTAAAACTCCTGTGCTGTGTAAACCTAAAGTCTGACCCCATAATTACACAGCCCCAACACAGGCAAGGTTTTTGGGGTATCCAAGTTACTGAAACATGTCAGTGAAAGGTTTTTTCCGCCACCACGGCAAGTCAATTTATTTCTGACTGTTGATCACTGAAACCAAATTTCATTGAAATTTCTCTTGGTAATCTTCATTTTTTTCTCCAAAGTCAAACTGAGTTAAGCAGAACCAAATTTGTTAAATCTTACGTCTATACATCTTACTGATAAAAACGTAGACTAATTTATATCTATGCTGTTTTCTCTTAAAAGGAAAGATTGACCTATCAAGAGATAGTAAAAACTGGGAAAATATTGACTGTAGAATTGCATAAAGTAATCAAAGCCAATTCTTCACTACTGCACTCAAAAGTTAAAATATCTGTTTGCACTACCCACTTGAACAATATCAAATTCTGAAAATGGGTCACCTGATACACTGAACATTACGTGAAACAAGCAGCAGGTTTTTTTTGTACGTCTGTATATGTACCCACATATGGATATGAGGCAATTTCACCTGAATAACTGAATGCAGAGGCCGATCCAGAGTACAAAATATAACCTCAGATAATCCATTTTAAAAGGCTCTTGAAAAAACGGAGAAAGGTGTAAGAGAGTGAGAACAAGGGAAAACTGTGACTCTACTTTTTGGTAAGAGTTTACCAAGGTCTTGTTTTCCCACGTTTGCATTTTTTCCATTGCAACATTTTTCTAGCCTTTTTTAAAATCAAAATTTTAAATGTTAAATTGAGGCAAAATCAAATTCTTCCTCTTTGGCTTTTTCAGCAGAAAAAAAATCCCATATGCTTTTGATAAATCAAAAAGAAAGTGTTTATAATAATTCTAGACAAATTGGAGAAATATTCCCTATTTAGTAGGCAACACAAAATTACTACATTCTTAGAGGCTGCTTGTTCAGTGAA